CACACCTGATGGATGAGCAACGCACTATTTTTTTTAAATCTCAGATGTTATTAAGCCCTGTGCATTGGTGGTGATTGATCATTTGATATTCTGTAAGAGATAAGACATGCAATAAAAACTGTTACGCCCCTTGTCCAATGTGGTAGGATATAAATATAATATATAAAGGTTCAAAGGGCAATCCCTCCCTAGCCCCCGGACTTAAGTCTGAACACTGAATTCCGGTTGAAGGGAAAAGATTTATTTGTGAAAGCAAACAAAAACACATAAACCTATCTTGCTGGGATGAAGCGAAACAGGGGGAAACAGTGCAAATGAAAATTTACACAAATACAGCTAACTAAGAGGGAACAAGGCCAAGATCTCAGAGTTCTAACACACAAAACAACTACAAAAAGGGTTGCTTTGTCTCTCACACAAACACACCCACACAGAAAAACAAAACACTAGACACAGGTTAGGAAATAATGGCAGTATCTCAATCAGTATTGTAAAAGGGAGCTTACTTGTGCTCTTCTCACTCTGGAGTTGTGGACTAATAGGTAGAGCTTGACAATGACACTTAGTCTCTTGGTTCTTGGTTCTAAAGTTATTCAGACTTCTCAGATGTGTATTTTTCTGTCTCAGATTGATATCTGATGCAAAACTAATACCCTTCAGACAGAGCCGATAAAAATCAAGGCATCCTTAAGCCGGCGAAGTCCCTGTAGGCATCAGTTTGGAGATGAGTTGTTTCGCTTCAAGTGAAAAACAATAGATTGAGTATAGATTAAAAGTTTGGGAAGGGACTGAAAATTCTAGCTTTCTTCAGATTTGTATGACTGTTGAGACTGCTGTCCCCATTCTTTTAGGGAAGTTCTGTTAAATAAGGATTATATCAGTCTTCATGAAAATGGAGGAGTTCTCCATTCGGAACTCGGGGAAACTGTGTGACTCTCCAGCTACTGCATGTTTTGGAGAAAACTGTTGGAGTGTGAATTCAGGAAGGAGAATAGCATAAACAACTCAACCTCTCTTGGTTACTGCACCTCTCAATGAGCGCAAAATACAATGGGAATACATACAACTGGGATGGGTATATTCAACATATTCTTCCTTCATTAAATAATGAATTAAAGGATGGAAGTATGTTGTTGGGAACACAGCGTATGTTTTATCACTGACACATCGTGGACTGACTTCCGACCCACTGAAGTCCAAGGAAAATATCAAGATAAGCAAATCCTACCAGGCCCGGCCCTAACCAATTTGGCGCCTAGGCAAGATTTTAGGTGGTGCCCCCCTTGCATCGCAGTAAATTCCACTGCCAGTTATATACATACAAACTGAATAGCTTTGTCTTTGACATTTTCTTTTACTTTTAGAAAAACAAGTTGCTCAATCAAAACAGTTAACAAGAAACTCGATGAAGAACGTTACGCCACCCTTTTCTCTTAGCCTCAGCGAGTGCCATCTCTTGTTAATGTATTGTGAGCCCTTTCGCAAAACGGACCTCCAAGTCCTTCCATGTTGCCATGTGAGTATTATGCTCCTGGCTATCCTTATGGACCTTGAGGAAGTGGCTTGCATTTTTCCAGTCCTTTAGTCCTTCCCTATTCAGTTGGTAATCTCTCTTGGAAAGCATTTTGCAGCAGAAGCAGTGCAAGCTATCATCCTTTTTCAGCCAGCTTCTTCAGATTTTTTCCCCATTGACTAAGTGTCCGTTAAAATACTCATGTTGACACCTTCGTCCGTCCTTTTGTTTAGGGAATGTGAAGGTGTTTTCAATTTGAAATGCACATCTGTGAACTAACCCTGTTCGTATGTTGAGGAGATGGCCAGTCAGCAGGGTCTATTGGTGCAGCCTTTGTACCTGATGCTGCATCACTGGGTTCTTCTGAGGTGGAGGTGACAGGAGGATCACTTGATGCTGCTGAAGCGGCGATGACTGTAGATGGCCCAGGATTTGCAGGAGGTGGATTTAGATATTTCAACAGTGCATCTGAAGAGATAAGAGGAGTGAGTAACACCGTTGGGTGTTACAGTCTAATAATAAAATAAATGATTCCAAGACTAAAATTCAATAATAAAAAATGAAAAATTAGATTAGATTTAATCTTATTGTCATTACAGTGAAATGCTGATTAGCAGAATGCAAAGAAGCAGTAAACTGCAGTATAATAGAACATATGGGAATGTATTAACATTAACGATGTGCACTTTAACATGAATGTAAAGTTCAACGCTATAAACACACTTTAGACAATACTAAACTGTAACACAACAAACAACAAGGCTTACAACTCTAATATATAAAGGTGTGTGAAAAGAATAGCATTTGACTGACTGTTACAAGCAGAGCAAACGTTAGCTAACCAATAATAAATAAAAATAAAAATGTAGACAAATGCAAACACCTGCTGAATAGATCTAATCTTTACAGTTAAATTAATGTGGGCTTATTTTTTTCATACTAAGAAAAAATAGCATCAACCAGTTTTAGTATAAAAATATTGAAAGTTGCACCTCCCCTGGCTGTATGAATGAATTCATATTAACACACATACATCTGTTAACAAGGCTTTATTGAATGGATGACTATCAAATTACATTATTTGTGGTTGACTGTTGCCATGGAGTCAAGAACCGACAGTCTTTGAAATACAGAAGTATACAAGAGAGGGGAAAAGAGGCAATACGACCTATGAATAGTAAGTCAGAGAGAAAGATGAGAGTGAAAATGAGACAAAAGTGGAGCGAAAGAAGTGATAGAAGTTATAAAACCTAAAAAAAAGGGTCCAGTGAACTTTTCAGTCAGGTAACGTCAGTTTCTTCAATTTCAGCAGTCAGTGTCTTTAATTAAAGCAGAAATAGAAAAGAATGTCTGAGATATTACAGACATCTCCCTGACGTTGAACTGCAGCGTCTTCTTTGCACAAATCCAAATCTTAAAAACCAGTCAGCAGGTTCTCTTTAGCTCTCCTCCTTTGTTACTGATATACACTTAATGGAGGAAGGTGATAAGTGATAATGGCTTGGATAATGCTGGATTACCAGCTCTCTCCATGATGGGTGTCCTTAATATTTACAGGTCTGCATTTTCTGGGGGTCTTGGCAGGGTCTTTCAATTTTGCTTCTGAATCTGATCTGATAGAGACCTCACATCTACCTTTCCAGCTTCTTTTGTTCAATCTTTTCTCATACTGCGCTGTTCTGTCAAAATGCACTGAAGAGCAGGCATTGAAATATCCAAAACATAGAAGCTGTATCTTTTTGATTACCAGTTTTGAAGAAAAATAATAAAACACTCTTAATACTGACCTGGTTTTACTGTATTGTATGTTAAAAGATCTTTTCATAAGTATTGCATTAATTCAACCATTTTGTGAATCATGATGGCGAAGGTCATGTTTTGTGCATATATGTTTGAACAGCAGCATGCAATGTGTCCACATAGTTAGTGAGTATAGTAAAAGAGTGAATGTAACAAACAAAACACGAAAAGAAGTCAGCAGTAGAACTCTGACTGTCCAATTAGGTGAGAGCCTGAGAGACTGATTAAAAGAAATAGTGTGTGTGTGTGTGCAAAGAGAAGAGAGAGAGAGAGAGAGAGAGAGAGAGAGAGAGAGATCTATGTGGACCTTATTAGTGCCAAGCTCTTACTGCTTGTTCCCTGCTGGAGAGGAGTGTTGTGATGTGGATTGAGCTGGTGGTCAAAGAAATGTTATGCCAGTCACGCACAGTTCACCTTTATACACAGACACCTTCACTGCAGGCCTGCTACTTTCTTTCTTTTTTTCTTTCTTTCTTTTTCTTTCTTTCTCAAGTGATGGCGCCCATTAGCTCTGGATGAAGTCAGATGAAAACACACACAGACACTATATGGAGACCACCGCTGTGTTTTCTGACACTTGCAGTGAGATATCTCTCAAACAAATGTGTAAAATACACAGCCTCTATTATCATTTCATCCCAGCATATAGCCCCACACTGCCCCCTACTGGTGCACTGGAAGGAAACACTTAACTTCTCCAAAAGAAAGAATGGGACTAATTAAATAAATTGACTACAAATAGCCTTTGACATGAAAGGCAGACAAGCGCAGCTCCTATACGAGTTGCATAGTTTGATATCATGAGGTTTTCCATAAAAGAGTGTGATGCGTTCAGGCTCTGCATCTGCTGAAGTGCAGCTATTAGCCCCACTCCTGCTGTTGTGTACACAAAAGGGCTGACGCGTGTCAACCCCAACTCGCAGCGCACGAGCCTTCTTCCATCAACCCACTCAGCGGGCATCGACAGTAGGGCACGTGTTTCTTCACACCTTGCGCACAAATGGCTACACAGACGGAGAGACTGAGAGGTGAAGGGGTCGAAGAGTTCAGTTCAGATCAGTTTTTATGAACTAAAGTTTAACAAAGCAACCTGAGTTATTACTCGATTCTGAATGTAAACACACAATATTACCAAATATGACTGATAGACTGAAATATTACTAGTACATTGCGCTCTACCTTATTAGACCACACTTCATATTTTAACATTGAGTACATGGAAGCAGAGAGTATATACCTATGAGTAATGGCACAGGAGGTAGAGCGGGTCTTCCAATAATCAGAAGGTTTGCATTTGCATATCGAAGTGTCCTTGAGCAAGATACTGAACCCCAAGTTGGTGTATGAATGTGAGTGTATGTGGCATGTAGTGTTAAAGCGCTTTAAGTGGTCAGAAGTCTACAAAGTACAGTCCATTTACCTAATATCTGTTTAACATCTGATAAAATAAACACAAATATGTTTCAAATATACCATTCTCTCACTAGATACTTTTTACTCTACATTCAACGTTAAGAAAGAAAGTGACCATATGGTTGGAGTTTGCTGAAGTGTGACTTCGCACCTCAACACCGTGGCGCATGGAGACACTTGGGGACGCGTCAAAGCGCAATTTGGCACCAGGCTGCCAGGGCCCTGATAAATAGGAAGTTCCTGCGTTCAGTCGCACATTCTCTGAGGACTTTACGCAGGACTGACCACTACAAGGAACCATGGAGACTTTCAATACCAACAGTGGATTAACTTCTGTTTTTACTGGAGACAATGTTACTCAGCAGTCCGGTAGTCTGTGGAGACCGTGGACTGGAATAGAGGACAAAACTGGTGCACACAAGGTGAGTTTAGACAACTTAGTCTTTAAGGGTTTTTTAATTCAAACCTTGATTGATTAATGGATAAAAATATCTAACAAAATCGCTTTCTTTTAACTTTCAGGCTCATTCCATTCATGGAGACCTTTCTGCTGCAAAGCAACCCAAAACCCCGCAGGTCGTTCACCCAGTGAAGTAAGTAGAGTTTTGTCAGTTACATTATATTTAATTCTTATGCCGGTTAATTATTTGTCAGCATCTTTATTAATTGCTCTTCTTTCTCCTTTCTCTTTCCCTTTTTAAAGGTTGTACTGGCCTAAATCGAGATGTTTTGATTATTTGTACCAGGACGCAGAAATGCTCCTGCGCAACTATCCGGTCCAAGCGACCATCTGCATATACGAAGACTCAAGCAGTGATGAAGACAGCGAGGATGAAGAGGAGGAGATGGGGAAAGAGCTGAACTAAATGTGGCTCTCTGAAGCCTTTGAAGACGAGTTGTTGCATAATGTGATAATATATTTCTCTTAACTTATTACTGTAAATATATATAAATAGACTTTTTTTTTTTCATTTCTATACCAAACAAGAATGTAAATGCTTAAGTTATTCCTTTAACATTTCTACCTCTTTTGTATTCTGCTGAAAATTGCAATAAAATACTTTAAATTAAAGTCGTTGTCTGGGGATTAATCACTGATGTGAATCAGGACTTTTTTCTGTGGTTAGTGCCTGTACTTGTACAGTCGAAATCAAACAGTTATAACATAAACAAATAGTTAATTGGAGTTCTACATTGCTGGCAGTGTGCAGTGGCCGGAACAAAGTTTATGTGAGGAGAGACTCCTCCACTGGTACGAGGACCAATGATCATTTGAAAGTTGACTTAATATAAATGCAATTTTCTCATAAATATTTTTTGGAGTGAACAGACACATCTAGGATTAGTTACTTACTATATATTAGAAGTTATAGCAGTGTAATGTTTTCTCGCATTCAGTTTATCGGACACACCCGCCTGCTTGTGGCATCAACTCTTTTCCCATGGATAAGTGCAAGGTAGTAAATGCGCCATTTCCTGCGCCTGAAGTGCGGAAACTGCGTGACATGTGGAGGGTGTCAACCTTGTCAACAGAGCGTAAAGATCTGCACCGAGATAGTCAAAGGGAAAACCGTTTGTAGACCTCCAATGAAACTATAGTTTAGTTAAGATTCTCTTTATATAGAGCAGGACAGGCTCTCTACATGCATTTAGATTTGCCACCAAAAGATTTATACCATTCTAAAATAAGTGTTTTCCTTCCTCTGCCCATAGGATAGAACATAAATGAATGAATAGATGGATAAAGGGATTAATAATAACACATACAGTATTGACTGAATGTATATTCCAGTTCAAAGTTTTGTCCCTCAACAACAAAAACATCATTAGACAAAATAAGACAGCAGAATGCAAAAATCAGGGCTGGTTTAACTCATTATGGGGCTCCTTCTTTTCACTGTGCATTCCGTCTGTACATCGTCTCCAAATACATATTAAGTGTGCACTACAGACTACACATGACAACATTATATATCATCTAGAGATCCAGTCAGCCACCAGCATTGTGTGTCCAATAGTTTGGAGTAATTAAAATAAAAAAACACAATTTTATTTGGAAATGCAACATGTAAGGAAAAGAGTGCAGAGCCTCAAGATGAGGTAGTGATGCAGGTCAAAGTCTTTAATCAAGTATTTCGTTTGATACTGTGCTGCAGTTGTGTTTATTAGAAAGGCTGGAGAACACATTTGAAGTTAATTAAATTACTACACTCCAAATTAAACACAGTGACATTTGGCTTGTTGTCATTTCATTTGGGATGTCTGGGGCCCCCGGGGCAGTTGTCTGATGAATACTCGGTTAGTAATTCAGCTTTTGTAATAATAAGAATTTAACACACTGCTGCAGTATCAATTGAGTTTATGTAGATATGACCTTATTGGCAGCCAGGTGTGAAGTAACTATTAACTATTTTACATTAGACACAGGTTTATTAGACTTACAGTTGGATTTTAAACCACAAATAACATGACTTGTTTAAAAGAGATGTCTTGGGGCACCCTGGTAGCTCACCTGGTAGAGTATGTACACCATGTACCAAGGTTGGATCCTTACTGCCTGGGTAGCCTCCCTGTTGCATGTTACCCCCATCCTCCCCTATCCTGCAAATATAAATAATAAAAAAATATATAAAATAAAATTGTCTCATTATTTCAGGTGAACATGATGCCCCTATTCCATAATTTCAAACTGTATAGGAATCATATTATGATGTTATAGTTAAGCACAGCTGCTGCTGTAAAAATCTGCCTCCTTAAAACTGCAAGACTTTTCATCTAATATTCATGTCTGTGCTCAGGAAAAATATATTATCATGTGTACAGGCTTTTGTTTTTCTGACCCGATGTCCTGAACTCTTCAACTTAACCCGGTGCCAACCTTTCAAGCCTTTCTGTGGGAACCCTTGGAATCCTGTAGGTGTTTTGCAGGGTGCAAAGTTTACACACCTTATTTACGTGAAACATGGTGGCCTCTGACTGCACCGTGAGTGCTGCAGTGCCACTGAAGTGACCTCAACTGGACAAAGTTCATTCTAACTACAAGAAAAACCTTTATCATAAATTAACAAACTGATTTTCTGTCACATTTTATTTTTCACACCCGCATTGCTACAAATATGTTAATATGTAAGGCTAATACATTTAGCAAAGATCATGACTGTATAGATGTAAAGCAACAAAGAGGGTTGGACACAATGTTTAATATTGTTTAATATTCACATGCAGGCCTGATATCAGGAACTGTGATGAAGAGATGACACTCTGATAACCTCTTCAACCCTGGCCTGGCCGAGACTTTCCCAGGGTTTGGGTGTCAGAGCTGGTGGTTTTAGGAGTGTCACTTACTTGGGTGTGAAATCTGCTCACCTCTGGATTTAAATATAAAACCAGGGACTGATGCCTTGTCTGATGAACTTATAACCTGTACCGCACAAACTTTGGGTCAACTGAAGCAAATTGTCGTTGGTGGGTTTACAAAGATTATCTTGTGTTATGTACTGGGGGGTTGTAGAAGTTACACATTGAGGAAAATGGAGTCAGAAGAACTATACTTTGCAGTTTCAGGCATAAAATATGTTGACAGAGTGTAAAGCAATCTTTTGAGTTTTACAAAATTTGAAGAAAAATGTGTGTATATATATATGTATATTTATATACATATACAGCATGCAACATTTATATTGACAATGATGGCTGATATGTACATGTTAAAAACAATGTCTATTTTAAACTGTAAATATATTATTAACAATGTTCATGACTTTGTGAACTTTGCACAACTTTGCACAACTTTTCAGACACATGCAGTCTGCAGTCATGCTTTTCCCAGGAGCTAGTGTGAATTTGGACGTGGAGAATACACACCTGAGGGGCTAAACCCTGTTCAGCCCCATGCTTGACCTCTGTGGTCACGTGTCAACTGCCAAGCACCCTCTCTTTGCCTCCAAATAATCTCACACTAGCCTGTGATGTAAGTTATAGCCAGTTTTTAAAATAAAATCTAAAGAGATGGATATCAGCTTTTACCTGGTCTTATCTGTTTACTTACCTTTGTAGTAATTACATCCGTTAAAAGTTATTACTTTCAACACAGTTGTTGTAAATGATCTGATAATTTGGTGCTACTCACAGTCACTTATTCATTATTATGATATCATTTTGTCATTGAAGATGTCACTTTTTGTCATGTGTAATTCTGTAATGAAGGTTAATTTGGAGAAGCTGGCATGCTCCTGTGAACTTTGACTGAGCATGGTGGTGCGATCACAGACACCAAGAGAGGTGACAAAGTGTGACTTAGCCGAGCTGAGACTGAACTGACTGCACCGGCTTCCCACAGTCACACCTCCGCCTGTCACTGGGAATGGAGGACTCGTTGCTCCAAGTCATAATAGTTTTGATAGAGTGTAGTTTTTTTATGTCATATTCATTTATGAGCTGTTGTGACAGGAGAAGGGCGTCCAATGGAATACAACCACCATGAAGACTGTCAATCACCTGTACAGTACACTGTAGACAAATACACCCTCACTATTTGCACTCTGAACATAGACATATTTACAGTACATACATACAGTAGATTAATTAAAAAAAGGTTGCCATTTTCTTACTGCTTCATTTCTTAATTTCATTTTAAGTAATCTGTTTTACATATCATATATTTCTAATTGCAAAACAACACATGTGTTTATTTCACACTTGCTTTGGCAATGTAAATGTCTGTTTCACATGCCAGTAAAATGCTTTTGAATTGAGCTGAATTGAACTAAATTATGGCTGGTTACACAATTGCATTGCGTTGTGTTTTCAAAGGTAGTTCATCTATGACCCAAAGGGGGGCACTGTGCTTCTGTTTATGTACAAGTTTGTGTTGAAGAAGTGCATGCAGACAGGAAGTCCTATTTTGTGTGGAGTTTAAACATATGACAACAATGACATGTTACCCTCTCTTTCTTTAGTGTGAATATATTATATATAATAATTATGGTCCTGCTGTGTAAAAAGTGGTCTTCAATGCACCGATGGATAATGGTAGAACAGTAAGTACTGTTTTCTTTATGTTTAACTTTAATGATGTTGGATGTCATGGAATATAACTGACATATCAGTACCTGTCAAAGTAGCAGTGACATAGGATATTAAATCTAGTGTTATAGTGTGTTAGTGATGGGCAGCTGTCCATCACTGCCCTTTACATGTCAAGGAGCCCCACAATAGATGCACATTAAACCATGGACCTCCAATTTGAGAGGATTTGACCCCCTCTGAGTATTTTTAAATTTTTAGGTTTCAAGATTAGTCTTCATGATCAATCAGGGATCAATATAAATTACAACCAATAACAAAAAACAACCACATTTCTTCCCTTATTGTTCCAGCTTCCAAAAAATTTGATAACCCCTGTTGGTACCCCAGTTTGAAAAGCAGTGACCTAACTGTCACCATCCCAACATTCAGCTGTCTGAGTGTTAGTACCAGATGATGCCACTTAAGATTTCCTTTTCTTCTTCACTTTAAAAAACCATAGAATTCTGGAAGGGCGCCTATCTCCCTTTAGTTAGAGCTGCATAGTGAGTGCATTTGACCAACAGATGGGGCAAGATCACCAGAAGTGAGATTTCAACTGGCTTTGGGTTAAGAGATGTAACTTTGCAGTACTTCCAGCTGGGGGCTGTGTTGCACTTAAACACTAAGCAGTAATTTCCAGTGATGGATGAAGACGATTCCACATATATACAAGATCAGAGGATTGTGGGAGGTTTGGCCTGTGGTGACTTTTTAAGAAACATAAATACAGATGGAGAATATGAAATATGAGATTACATAAATGTAGTTATTTTGTATTTTAAAATGTATACTAAATGACAGGAAACCCATTGATCGTGGGCAAACAGTTATGCTATGGTTCACAAAATTTTCCACTGTACTGCAATGCAGTAGAAAATGCAATTAAGATTTTTATAATTTTTTTAATGTAAGTGGATCTTGTGTCTGAGTTTGATTCTGTCATTTGGAAATACTGGATAACAGATTTAAATTCACAAGGGACTTATTTATAATTAATGATAAGTT